GGGGCTCGATCCCAGGACCCTGGGATCATGACCTGAGCCGAAGGCAGACGCTTAACGACTGAGCCACCCAGGCGCCCCTACAAATTCCATTTTAAGAAATTCCAAAGATCTGAAAAAAAGAGGTTCCTAACACCAGAAAATTAATAGATGTATTGTCAATTCATTTTTTATCAAATTTTATGATTAACCACCAGACTGTAAATCTGTTTTATCTAGTCTCCTGGGGCCTGATTTTAATGGCAATCTTCTTTTTATACACTTTCATAGCACCTAGAACTTCTTTAAAACATGTACTACACATCATGGATTTTATTCTGTACCACCTTCCCCAACTAGGTAGCTAGCAACATAGAGGAGTAGGCACAGTGTGTATCCTTCACTGCTATATCCTGTAATCTATAGTGCCTAGTACATCATAAGTTCTTGGTAGCGGAAGTGCTACATAAATGAATGAGTAGTACTGAAATTTGAACTTCTTTAATAATACTGAGCCTCAGATTTTGGTTAAAAGTTTAGTCAGAGAACTTGCCTGATAAAATGTCACAACAGGTACTGTATGGCCTGGTTTAAGATGAAATTCTAAACACAGAGCCAAGCTCCTATTTCTTACTCCATTCCCTACACTGCACTTGGAATTTCTCAGTTCTGACAAACTGATGAAGGGGTCCACAGATCTGAGTAATGGTTCAGAAGGTAAGGTTGAAGTCAGAACAACCATAAACCAAATCTTATTTCAAGGGGAAAAATGAGATAGAGCAGGAATGGCTCACCATGTCTAGGGACCAGGTGAACTTCCATCCAAGTCCCCACCTCACTGGCCTCTTTTCTCTTACTATCCTCAAAAGCATAGATCTGGGGTTCCCAGAGATGTTTCTGCTTCAGGAATGTGAATGAGAGCAAAAAGGGAAAGTTAGAAAATAGTTTGTATAGTATGAATCCATTTGTGTTTAACACAAAAGAAGAGATTATATATGCACAGGAAATCCCAGAATGATTACAACACAAACTTACTTTTGGTGAATGTGAGATACTGGCCACGGGAGTATTCCTATAACTTTCTACTTTCTGCTCAACGGCCTCCTTTACTATTTAGATATCTATTATTTTTTTCAACCAAAAATATGAAAATAACACACTATCACTAAACCAAAAGGAAAAACCTCTCTTCAAACAATATTTAGCTGGTAAATCAATACTGGTATGTTTACTTTGCTATTAGAGCAATTCCAAGCTTGACGCAGTGGTGAAAACAATTACAGTAACAGAAGGAAAAATCAAATGGAAAATACACCCAGGACCGTGGACTTAGAGGTCCAGTTCATCTGTACCTGTCAGCAACAGGTCTCAACTGAAAATGAATCTAATCAATTAGTGTTGCCACTGAATTCCTTCTTGCTGGTTACTTTCCTCCTTAAGTAGGAGACAAACAAGAAATTCCATATAAACACTAGTATGTGGAAAAGTTTTTGTGCATGCAAACTACATCTTATTTCCCTTAGGAATCTGTCGTTTGGGGGAATGTCTTACTAACATTTTAGTAGTTAGTGTCAAAAACGAAGCTACTAAAAATTAGGCTTCATTTTCACTGAAGGTGGGAAGATTTCTACAGAGGAGCAACTCAGGTTTTTTATGGCCCAAACTGTATACTCCTGAGCTGGTTTCAGTTAAAGCAATTTCTTCATTAGTTTTACTTGGCCAAAGATTCTAAACTATTACTTTAGACTACCAAATCCAAAACAAAACAAGCCTCCAAACCTTACCTAATTCTCTAAACTTGCGCCATCCAGCACAGTAACCACCAGCCACATGTGGCTAATTGCTCCCATAAAATGAGAATAGTTCAAACCGAGATGTGCAGTAGGTGTAACACACACACAGGATTTCTAAGACTCGTACCAAAAAGAGAAATGTAAAATACCTCATGATTAACTTTCACATTAATTACGTACTGAAGTTTTTTGTTAAATTACATTCAATAAAATATTAATAATATACAATAAAACATGAAAATTTATTTTTATTTTTTTAATATGGCTACTAGAAAACGCACAATTTACAATGTGGCTCCCATTAGGTTTCTGTTGGGCAGCTCCGAGCCTTGGTTACCTCGCGGGTGAAATGGGGATAACGCCCACATCATGCAGAAGTTATTAGGATTAAGTGAAATAAAGCCTGTAAACGCTCAGCACATAGTTGCTATCAGCCTACCAAAGGGCACAAGCCAAGTCAGGCGCTTACACACGCAGAGGCTGAGAAGTGTCTGAAGCCTCCGTCACCTGGCTTCCAGTTACTCTAAGGACAGCCTTGCGGGGACACGCCTTCCTTCTCTCGCTCGCAGACCCCAAGCTGGAGCAGCACCCCCGCAAGCCCCACGGTCTGCGGCGCGGCCAGCGGAGGGGTTGCGGAGGGCCGCCCGGCTGTGGGGAGGCGTCCGCCCTTTCCTCCAAGCCGGCGTCTTTGGGCAGACGTGGGGCCACCGTGAGAAGGAGCCCCGAAACGCATCTCCGGTGGGCGGCCTGCTCGGGGGAAGGCAGGGCAGGCCGAGAGGGCAGCCGGCGGACGAGACAGACACGAGGCGGGGCTCTCCTGGCCCCCGCCTCCGCGCCGCCGCCTCCCTCGGCGGCCGCACTTACCTGCCGAGCCGATTCCCTGAACGTCGCGGCGGGCGCAGCTCCCGAGGCTGCAACTGCTTCTCCTCCTTCCGCACGGCTCGCGGGCTCCGGGTCCATCGTCGTCGCCGCCACAGGGCTGCTGGCGCTAGCAAGATAGAACGTAATGGCCGATCAGCCCATTTCCCTCTCCGCCTCCCCACCCAGGCGCCGACCGAGCCGGCCGTCACCAAGTGGGACTCACCGGCAGCGCCCACCTCGCGCCACGCCCGGCCACGCCACGGCAGGAGGAGCGGGGCTGCCCTGATGGGTGGGACCGGCCTGAGGGGCGGGGCCGGCTGGCGCCTCGCCCCCCAACTCCGGCTCCTCTGACCGCCGCCTGGGAGGCGCAACGACCGGCTCGCGTGGGGCGGAGCGAGGCGAGCAGCCTGCGGCACCGCTTCCGGCCCAGCCCACGTCCGCAGCTCTCGGAGCCGCCGCCTGGCACCGCCGGTGACGTCATGCGTCGTACCTGCACCTGGATCTTGGCTTCGGGATGTGGGCGCAGCCAGCCACCAGCTGCGTTTTGGGCAGTCACTCTCCCAGACCTTGGTTTCTGCACTTACAAAATGAAACAGCCTCGTAGTGTGCTTCAAAGGCTTGTGAAAATGTATTTTAAGATGTAAGGCTCTGCTCCATATTCCATTCCTAACATGGATGACAGTCTAGCCAAAAATACCCTTGAAATAAGAGCCTCAAAAGTAAATTTTGTTTACACTTCTCTGAAATGCTTAAGTATAATTGTAGAAAAAAGTTAAGTGACATCTGAAGGAGGGTAAAGGGTAGCAGCAAGATTCCATTTTGAACAATATGAGGAATATTTTATTATCTATGTCTTTGGGGCGCGTGCGTCCGTGTGTGTGTGTCG